TTTCTACTGCAATAAATTTATCACCATTATAACTGCTTAGTTTTAATATTAGATGTAATTAAATCAAAATTATTTTAACCAAAAGTTTGCAAGGCGTTTATTAAAAATGTAACGTGCAAAACGCGGTTGTCTTTGGAATTACACTGTATCCATAGCGCATATGCAGAGCGAATGTGCTCTAAACATACGTATTAAATGCATTCTATATCAGAAGCAGGAACAGGATTTAATTTTATAAATATTAATTTGTTAATAGATAGGTAGAGAATAAATAGGTACTTATTGCACATTCTTTAAGTAATTTATTATATATAATCATTATATCTATGTCACCTCTAGCTGCGTGGTAAATTAAATAAAACACAATAAAAGAAATCAAGTAATGAAATAAGGGTATGTAATAATTACATCACAGCTAAACAAACATTTTGTATTTTATCATCATCCAGAATTACGTAAATTAATAAAATAATTATTTGTTTCTGTTGGTATTACAGACCATTTAGATCTTTTGCCACCTTAACAAGTTTGCTCTATCTCTGCCTGGTATAAGCTATTTATTTCCATTTATCCGCAGGCAGCTCTGTTCCATCTTTGTTGATTCTATCTATATACCTGATTTTTGTCTTTTGTCTTCTATTGAGACATTCATTGTTACGTAGAGATTTCCAAGTGAATTGCTACTAGCTGCATGCCTCGCCCATCTTAACTTCCATGCCTTCATATCATGGGATATTGAATGACCAGTTTCTGTAAGCAGTTCTTTTTTACTCGTTCTTCTTTTTGTGTTAGTACGCTGAACCCAGATAGCTTCGGTTATCGTGCAGAGGATTTTTCTCTCAAATCTTTTAACACTTTTTCCAAAAGTGCTGATTAGTGTCCTAGTATCACATCCGTATTAGAACTGAATTTATCACAGCATTGTACATCCTTACTTTCAGATTTCAATTCAATACCTTTGAGATGGAGAAGAAAGCTCTTTTTTGCGGCAGTTTTACGCTGGTCTATTTCTGCCCGGTGGTCATTCATTGAGGTTTTTGTGGAGCCGAGGTATTTGAATTTTTCTACTCTCGGGAATGATTTTCTTTCTACGCAGATCCTGTTACTGGGGTGGAATTTTCGGCTTATTATCATATATTATATTTTGTCTTCATTTACTTATAGGCCAATCTGCTCTGCCTCTCTTATCAGTGTTGTAGCGAGTTTTTCAATGTCTTGTTGATTACTTATAAGGACAGCTAAGTTGAACAACATCGTTGACAGTCCATCTCCTTGCCGTAAGCCCGTTCGAACTTTGAAGGCTTCAGATTCTTCTGCTTGTATTAGGACTCTACCTTTGGGGTCATTTTTACACACCTTTTTCCATCTCACCTACTTACCGGCAATTCCCAGTTCAGTCATGATTTTCCAAAGACAGCTCCTGACCACAGAATCATAGGCTGCTTTGAAATCGACAAATTATTATTTTAATAATTAATTAATTAATTATTTTTTTATTGTAAAAAATTTTCACTTACTATGCTCACAACTGAACAAAATAACAGGCTCTGGAAGCTATTCATGTCTAAGCACAACAAAGGACAGGAAGATATCACCAGATACAGCTGAAACCTATAGAAAAATTGTGAAGTATCTAAAGGAAACCAACGTGGATTTTCATAATTACCAATTACGGCAAGATCGAGCTTTGAGGGTAGTAATAAGAAATCTACACTCCTCAACACCAACCGAAGCAATAGAAGAAGAATTGAAAAATTTAGGTTTCATAGTGCACCAGATTACAAATGTACAGAAGGAGAGTAAAGAACAGCCAGGAGTAAAAGTTCCTCTACCCTTACTTTTCGTAGATTTGGAGCCAACTCAAGAGATCGAAAAAAATATACGAAATAAAAAGAATATACTAGCCAAGTGTTATAGTAGAGAAGCCATATCTTAAGAGGGAAATCGTGCAGTGTCACAATTGCCAGGCATATGGCCATACCAGGACTTACTGCCATCATCTGCCGCGCTGTGTGAAATGTGGAGAGCAGCACAAATCCGGGGAGTTCATAAAACCGAAACGGAATCCTGCAGTTTGTGCTTTGTGCCTTGAAGGACATCCAGCGAACTACAAAGGCTGTCAGATCTACAAGAATATCAAATCAAGTTATCAAAAATCACAAGAAGAAGCAGAGGCATCAAGAAGAGAACCTAGCACATCAAGAAGAGGACCTTCAAAAATAATTGACCCAACGGTGTCTTTTGCACACTTATTAGGAGGTAAGAATGATGTTACTTATTGTAAGACCCTGCCGCAACAACAACATATACCTCAAAATCCTCAACCCCACCCTCAACATCCTAATCAAACTTCACCTAATCATCAACAGTTTTATCAACAGCAAATTCTTCACACTCCTCCTCCCTCAAATACCACAGATCTCACCAGTTTACTTACATCTTTCCTCTCCGAGTTCAGATCCCTTGTTACTCCTTTGATATCTCTTCTCACCGATCTTGTATCACATTTTATCCCTCCCCCGAAAAATCCTTAAATGACTTCCAATAAACCTTTATCCATTCTCCTTTGGAATGGGAATGATGTTAGGAATCATAAAAACGAACTAACTAAATTATTACTTGACAAGAATATTGACGGGGCACTAATTACTGAAACTCGACTAACCACTAAACAGCACTTCAAAGTACCACAATCCAACAAGCCGCCTGGACTGCCTCCTTCCCAAAAGACTCCTCCAGAATTCCTAAAAACACCATTCTACCCCAACACCTCCTTGACCTAATCCACACCAAACGCCGTGCCAGATTATTGCGGCAACGTAACCGACATCCTACCGACCGCGGCTCCTATAATTATTACTGCAAAAAATTAAAACTGGAATTAGCCACCTTCAGATCACAATCCTTCAACTCCTGTTGAACCTCCTATCCTCTGTCTCTTCTCGCGTCAATTCCCTTTGGAAAACCACAAAAAAATTCCTAAATCCTCACCGCATTTCCCATCCCCTCCGACGAGATGATGACTCCTGGGCAGCATCTGACGAAGATAAGCCTGAAGAGTTCGCCATTCACCTATCGAATACATTTATTTCACATCCGGAATCCCATCCTGCCCACTCCGTAACAGTGAAGAACTCCTTACATCACCAATCCCACTTTCCTTGCCCCCAAAAGCTAATCATCCTTCCGAAGTGAAATTTCAATTAAAAAAAACTAATCCCCCGTATAGCTCCTGGACATGATCTCCTTACCCCTCAAATCCTTCGACAACTTCCATCCAAAGCAGTCAAATTCCTTACATATATCTACAATTGTATCCTACGCACCACCCACTTCCCTCTGTTATGGAAACACTCCACTATTATCCTTTTCCCAAAACCAGGCAAACCTCCCAATAGCTCAACATCCTATAGACCAATTAGCCTACTTCCAATTCTTTAAAAAATTTTTGAAAAGATCCTTTTGAAACGAATCCTACCCATTATAATGGGTATAGAATCCCAAAATATTCCTTCCCATCAGTTAGGTTTTCGCTATTAACATTCTACTGTTCAACAAGGACTCCTAGTTGTTGATCATATTTCCTCAGCCCTAGAAAACAAGGAATACTGTTCGGGTGCATTTCTGGACATTGCACAGACATTTGACCGGGTATGGCACTCCGGACTGCTCTTCAAGCTTAAAATCCATTTACCTCAGTCCTTGTACCTAGTCCTCCGATCCTACCTCTCTGACCGCTCCTTTCGAGTTCACTGTGGAACAGAATTTTCCAATATCTACTCCGTTAAAGCCGGTGTTCCCCAAGGCAGCGTCTTGGGTCCCGTGCTTTACATCCTCTTTACTGCTGACATCCCTGTTCATCCCGATACTTTTCTTGCAACATTCGCTGACGACACCGCAATCTTATCATCCAACTCTGATCCCAAAATAGCATCCTTAAATCTTCAAAGTCACCTCACCTTGATTGAGCACTGGTGTAATAACTGGCGCATTAAAGTTAATGAATCTAAATGCCAACATATTACCTTTAAACTCCGACGCAATTCCTGTCCACCAATACTCTTTAATTCCATCCAGCTTCCTTACTCAGACACAGTCCGGTATCTTGGCTTTCATTTAGACCGAAGACTGACGTGGAACCCACATACTAGACTCAAAAGACAAGAACTCAACCGACGATACGTCCAACTATACCGACTACTAAATAGAAAATCTAAACTTTCTATTGAAAACAAGCTACTGATCTACAAGACAATAATGAAACCTTTTTGGATTTACGGACTAAAACTGTGGGGATCGGCAAAATTTTCTAACATCAAGCGCATCCAATCCTTCCAGTCAAAAGTCCTTCGAACCATAGTCGATGCTCCTTTCTATGTAACCAACAAAACCCTACATCATGACCTTAACATCCCATTTGTCTTAGACCTTATCCCATAAAAATTCTCTATCAAGCACCTCCCACCCCTATAATCCTCCTAAAAGGTTGAAACAGCAATGGCCTTGCGTCCTTTTGTAGATTGTATACATTGGAGTTCTGGCAATGGCCAGATTTTTCACTCAAGACATGAGTGTATGTGGCTAAAGTGCTCTCCCCCCTGGCTTTAGTACCTGTCAGAGAGTAACGCATGGTTCTCCTGGAGTTTCCTCGCCTGATTGTATATAGGTAGGTGTGTTTTTTTTTGCTTAGTTTTAATTTTCTTATTTTTTAGATTATTTTATTTTATTATCTATTGTATATACTTTTATTATTTTGTTTCTATTTATTTTATTTTTTTTGTACATATAGTGTGAATGTCATCCTACCTCACTATAACCAATGTCCAAGAGACAGATTGTTGTAATATTCAATAAATACATAAATAAAAAAGATGTTAACGCATATAAACAAAGTTAATCAAATATTGGGGACACATATAAAAACTAAAAATTAATTCAGAATTATTTTATTGCTTGTGAGTCTTTTTCATTAGGGATTTTAAGTTATCAGAAGGTGGAATTTACATTGTTAGAGCAAAACTTCCACTGGAAGCTGCTGCAGAACCTCCCTGGATATTCACTCCAGCATTAGATTGCGCTCCAGCAACTCCTTGTGCTCTTGTACCCCCATTGGATCCAGCTTGAGCCTGTGCACCAGCTCCAGCTTGAGCCTGTCCTCCAGTTTGACCTCCTACTTTACCCTGAGCACCAACTTGGGATTTTGCACCAGCTGCAGCTCCAGCTTGAGCCTGTCCTCCAGTTTGGCCTCCTACTTTACCCTGAGCACCAACTTGGGATTTTGCACCAGCTGCAGCTCCAGCTTGAGCCTGTCCTCCAGTTTGGCCTCCTACTTTACCCTGAGCACCAACTTGGGATTTTGCACCAGCTGCAGCTCCAGCTTGAGCCTGTCCTCCAGTTTTCCCTCCTACTTTACCCTGAGCACCAGCTTGTGATTTTGCACCAGCTGCAGCTGCAGCTTGAGCCTGTCCTCCAGTTTGGCCTCCTACTTTACCCTGAGCACCAACTTGGGACTTTGCACCAGCTGCAGCTCCTGCTTGAGCCTGTCCTCCAGTTTGGCCTCCTACTTTACCCTGAGCACCAACTTGGGATTTTGCACCAGCTGCAGCTCCAGCTTGAGCCTGTCCTCCAGTTTGACCTCCTACTTTACCCTGAGCACCAGCTTGTGATTTTGCACCAGCTGCAGCTCCTGCTTGAGCCTGTCCTCCAGTTTTACCTCCTACTTTACCCTGAGCACCAGCTTGTGATTTTGCACCAGCTCCAGCTGCAGCTTGAGCCTGTCCTCCAGTTTGACCTCCTACTTTACCCTGAGCACCAACTTGGGATTTTGCACCAGCTGCAGCTCCTGCTTGAGCCTGTCCTCCAGTTTTACCTTCTACCTTACCCTGAGCACCAACTTGAGATTTTGCACCAGCTGCAGCTCCTGCTTGAGCCTGTCCTCCAGTTTGGCCTCCTACTTTACCCTGAGCACCAACTTGGGATTTTGCACCAGCTGCAGCTCCAGCTTGAGCCTGTCCTCCAGTTTGGCCTCCTACTTTACCCTGAGCACCAACTTGGGATTTTGCACCAGCTGCAGCTCCAGCTTGAGCCTGTCCTCCAGTTTGTCCTCCTACTTTACCCTGAGCACCAGCTTGTGATTTTGCACCAGCTGCAGCCCCTGCTTGGGCATGTCCTCCAGTTTGACCTCCTACTTTACCCTGAGCACCAGCTTGTGATTTTGCTCCAGCTGCAGCTCCTGCTTGGGCCTGTCCTCCAGTTTGACCTCCTACTTTACCCTGAGCACCAACTTGGGATTTTGCTCCAGCTGCAGCTCCTGCTTGAGCCTGTCCTCCAGTTTGACCTCCTACTTTACCCTGAGCACCAGCTTGTGATTTTGCTCCAGCTGCAGCTCCTGCTTGAGCCTGTCCTCCAGTTTGACCTCCTACTTTACCCTGAGCACCAGCTTGTGATTTTGCACCAGCTGCAGCTCCAGCTTGAGCATGTCCTCCAGTTTGACCTCCTACTTTACCCTGAGCACCAGCTTGTGATTTTGCACCAGCTGCAGCCCCTGCTTGGGCCTGTCCTCCAGTTTGACCTCCTACTTTACCCTGAGCACCAACTTGGGATTTTGCTCCAGCTGCAGCTCCTGCTTGAGCCTGTCCTCCAGTTTGACCTCCTACTTTACCCTGAGCACCAGCTTGTGATTTTGCACCAGCTGCAGCTCCAGCTTGAGCATGTCCTCCAGTTTGACCTCCTACTTTACCCTGAGCACCAGCTTGTGATTTTGCACCAGCTGCAGCCCCTGCTTGGGCCTGTCCTCCAGTTTGACCTCCTACTTTACCCTGAGCACCAACTTGGGATTTTGCACCAGCTGCAGCTCCTGCTTGGGCCTGTCCTCCAGTTTGACCTCCTACTTTACCCTGAGCACCAGCTTGTGATTTTGCACCAGCTGCAGCTCCAGCTTGAGCCTGTCCTCCAGTTTGACCTCCTACTTTACTCTGAGCACCTGCTTCAGATCTTGCACTGGCTCCTACCTGTCCTCCGATTTGTGATCCTCCTTTACTTTGGGCACCTGCTTGTGATATAGCTCCAGCTTCAGCACCTGCTAGACCTTGAGAGTTTCCTCCTGCTTTGAATTGATACGATCCTTCAGTCCTTGAAGAGAACTCTGATTTTGAAGATGCTTTGGATTGTGTCGATGTCTTGTAGTTTAACGATTCTTCAGTTCCAACAAATGGATTGGTTCCAACGTTAGCGTTAGCCACTGCATTTGCTTCTGCGTTGCTCCTTCCTACGACGAACGCTCCAGTGCTTGGAACTGTAAATATTTATGTTATTAATATGATGGATTATGTCCTAAGATTATATTTATACGTTTACAAATCCCGGAAAGGCAGTTGAATATTTTATTTCGCAAATTGCATATTATGAACATGGACTGTAGAAATTCTTTTATTTATCCACAGATTAGTATTAAGCTTTTCAATAAATCGATAATACCTAGGAACTGTTAATTGACTCCTTAAGTCTGTTGATATTAATCTTACTTTTTATACTTAAGCGAATAAAGAATATAAACGTGCCTGAATTTATTCATGATTAAATTTAAAAGTGAACATTTCGTTACTACGCATGAAAATGTTTGACATTGTGGTTAGAAATGGGTGTTTAACTCTTATTCTAGATAAATCTGTCTTTCGAATATGAGTGAAAATATTTAATTGAAAAGATGTTAACGTTATCTCTATCGTGCTGTAAGATGCTGTATGTTGTTTTGGTTCACCATTCCAAACCTAAATGTTCAAGCCAGAATAGGAATGTCGAGATATGATTTATGTTACCTAAGGAAGCTACAAGGACTGCTACGGTGAAGATGACTAGACACTTCATCTTTGTGAACTGTCAACTGCAACTTTTACACCTTTTTTATACCGAAATGTCAGATTGCATTTAGTAATGCTAAACCACGTACTTGGCAAGTATTCATTCTCACGAAGAAAAATGTGGAAGCAAACAAGTCGTTATGATTTAATAACGGGGTTCAGATACAAATACAAAATTCTTTGCATTAAACCACTCGGTAAATTTGACAAATAATAATTAAATTAAATAATTCAACATTGGTTTGTGCTACTTTCAAATTAAAAAAAATGTTTTTAATCTCGATAATCTGTCTTATATTATATATTAAATTAAGTTCTTGATTTAAATTAATCGGATTTTGATTAAGATTCACTAAAAATCAAATCAAATATTTAGTTTATCAAGGTGAAAAAAATAATTAGCGTTCTGTGTATTTTCTAAGGAAATTCCATTTAATTTCTATGGAAACTTTTATTTTTCTTTCGGTAATATAAATGCACACATTGCTAAATTAAAAGTCATTAGCTTTCCGTAACGGTATATTACTTTCAAAGCCGATGTATGTGTACAAAAGCATCATTTTGTAACCAATGCCCACCTTTCTTCCAACTTTATATCGAATTGACCAAGCTGTTTATGAAATGTTAGCATATCTAAGAAAATACATTTGCGCGTGCGTAAGCGAAAGTATTGCATGGAACTACATGAAATCGATATGGGATCATCTAGATCCCAATCCGTACAACCCTTGAAAATTTCATGAAAATCTAATAAATGGTAGTATATGATATACCAGTGACATGGATTTGTCTAAACACAGACAATCTAAAATGTCATCAGAGGAAATCATCAACGTTTTGATTTTGTATAAAATCTAAACCCCAAGTGAATCTATCTTTTGAGGTCATTGACTGTTAAACTACGAGTCAATACAGGCGGACTCAAAATGCATCACAACGTTATCTTTAATTGATAATAACCTCCTTGGAAAATATTGAACGTCCTACTTGTATTGAAGGTCGCATAAAGGCTCATCGTTGCCAGAATTAATTGTTTTTTTTTCTCCAATAATATTCAGATGGTAATCGATGTTCTTGTTAGTATGAAGTAAACTATTTAAAGAAGTAAAGAAAAGACAAATAAACTTTATTTGACGACAGTTTTTATACAAAAATAATTAGACGAATATCCATTTTTTATTAGTAATTAAACAAGCACAAATCTTCTTGAAAATAAATTCAAAATAGTCCAGTAGCAAATATTTAAGTTCATTAAAATTTCACTTTGCTTCTTCAATTTTCCAAATTGATATCTCACTGGCTTGATCGTATAGGCATAACTTGTTTAATGTTGGCTATAACTATTAATACACATTGCTGTAATCACATTTATTAAAACTAGTAGGCCCGTGCGAAAAATTCGCACAGCATATTGTTATAAAATGCCAAATTAATAAGAAAATGCAACTTATCAAAAGATTAAGACATCAAATGTTACTTTATCGATAAATATAATCCACAAAGCAAACAAAAATTAATTTAAATCTTCATTTTTGTTTGGAACCAACATATATACAAATTTCAGTAAGCGGTATCTTTACTAAAAATTGTCCGATTGCGATGATTTTTTTTTTCCTTTTGTAGGGAGTTTAGTAATGTTTTATATAATTATGAGCATAACCCAGGGAAAAGTGTGTAATTTTTCAGTTATTCGCAAATAAAGTTTATTTTCTTTCATAACTTGTTTGCCTGAATTTTCTGGGTGATTGGACTATTTTGCCAGCCTGAAGGAGAAGGAATCCTTCGAAATTGGTGGCTCAATCTTGAGATTTGGTGAAAAATTAACGATGATATGGTTTCCGATCAAAAACACCATCGATGAATAATATAAGCTCCCCCTCTCCCGTTCATAGAGACCTCAAGTCGACGAAATGAGACATGTATTCAATGACAGTACTACAATTAACGTAAGGTTATGTGGATGCGAACCCTATGCCTTGCATTATCTCAAAAATAGTACGTTTTTCGGCTTAAAAACGCAGGATCCGATAGTTCCGAGGGAACTATCCAGTCTTGCTGTACGCATCAAAATCTTTAAGATCCAATTTGTCCCGTATCGATCTACAGACCTACCACCAGTTCCAGTATCGAAGCCTAGCAAAATGTTTGTACCGACATTATTTATTTTAGAAAGAAAAACAAAAGTGGAGAATACGATTCGCTAACCCCCCGTGAAATTCTGAATCCAACGGTACCCCATTCTTGGTATTTGAGCATGACAGGAGCTTATATTTGGTACAAAACCGATTTCAAGCCTTACTGTAATAATATATGTACGGATGTGAGCTTCGCAATGAAGCCAGTTATAGCCAACAACAGTATTGCCACAGGATCTAAAAATTTCAACATCGTAACATAAGCTGGTACTGGTCCATTAGCCAAGCTGGACTGACTGATATTTGCCAATGTTTATAACCTTAACACTGATAGTTCTGATAAGGCAGTGATAAGCCTCTCGTAATTCCTATCTTCGTATTCATATTTATTGTATTATATTAGCAGCAATAGACTCCCAAAGCTAACGACAAATTTCTAATGAGCAGAATTCTTATCTTAGGCGTAATTCAATCAGTGTTGCCGCGCGATCTGTGAAGAATCCTCGTACTTCAAACCTCCTACATCCTCGTACGCTTGCTCATTGTAAATTTGTACTACTGTAGGCTCAATGTTGTTGTTTTTTTTAAGTAAAATTAGATCAGAGCTTTGCTTCATATTCATATATATTAACTACTCCAGCACTTACTAGACAAACGCTCTAAGCTTTCAGTAAATTACAAAAGACTTATACATGATTAAAATAAGACCTATTTGGACTTACGGAGTTGAGATTTGGGGCTCTCCTACAAAGCCATCGAATTCTTCGAATCGAAAATCCTTCGTAAAATCCTCAACGCTCCTAACTTTGTCACTAATAAAATCATCCATAACGACCTTAATGTTCCTAATGTTGTTATGTTACTCTCGTTTCTAACCTTCCTTCTTCCTAGATCTGAAAAGAAGATGACCTCGAGATCTCCTATTGTAAATACATTTTTTTTATTAGAGTGCTACCATTGGGAAGTTTCTCACCAAGTGTTTTCATGTTTTTGTTTTCTGTTATCACATTTACTGAATGTATTTTTATATATACAGTTGAAAATATCATAAATAAATAATTTAAAAAATAAATAATTTATTTTAAAACCTTTTTACTTTATTTTTTTTAAAGTTAATGAGTCAAGAAGTAAAATGAGTTTAATTAAAGGCACGAAATTAAGTACATAAAAAATGCTTGTATTTTTAGAAACTGTCGGAAAACTTTCCATAAAAATTAAAACAGCAAAATTAACTTTTTTAAGGTTACAATATTCCTATCATTATTGAAAATAAATATATTATTATAACTTCATCGAAGTTCAAAACTAGGTAAAATATAATTCAAAATAATAAGTATTAATTTTTATTATTAAATTTGTGTTTTTATTATTACTTAGAACTATTTAAATGAATTTTAACAATCGTAGTTGTATGAAGGAAATAATAATTATGAAGGAAATAATGGATATACTTCCTTATATTTTATATTCGATAAAAATGTAAAATGTTTTTAAAAATTTTTATCATTATTATTATATTTTAAAAATTTTAAAATGACTGTCAATTTTATTTTCTAGAAAATTAAAAAAAAAATATATATATATATACAACCATGCTTTTATGGTTCTAACTTCATTCATATAACTTTGCACACGTCAGCAAAAATTATGTACAAGGCTGGTTGATCTTCGTACCTCGTACATCACGTCATGACCTCCTACAAATACGAGGATACGATGGCAACGGGCTGTTGTTTATCCAATCCAAACAACAGCCCGTTGCCATTAATCACTATCATTCACTATCTCTTTATATCTACTCACTCATGATATTTATTCGAAAGGCGTTGAGATAGGAATGATTTTAGCGGAAAATGCAAAATAATGTAAACCGCTACATTCTATTTTTTTTTAAACTATATTTATTGAGAGATATTACAATCTGTCACAAATAAGAACCTTAATATTCTATTAAGGAACTAACCAGTTTGATTATTGATCGCTATATGTTTTACGTTGCTTAATTCTAATCTTACAAAAAATACTTAGTTACAAAAACTTGAGTATGAAATATAAACTAAGTGATAGCATATTGCAATCGTGGACTTTTTTTTTAAAGGAGTTTTCAATGAACATTTTAAAGATGCCTTCAGCCTTAATAAATGTATCACAAAATTAATCTGTATGTATGTGAACAGCCTAGTGTAAAAACGAAGAGTCTAAAGAAGATGAAATTATATATTTAAATTCCTTAAATATTATAATTTCCTGAGATATTACAACAACTTCTTTTAAAATTTACTAATTTCATTTCCTCTAATTTATGCAACTTTCACACGGCTAATCGTTACAAATGCTTTTTTTGACCAACTAACGGCCACAAAAATGTATATCCTTATTTTAAAGTGTTTCTTATACTTACAAATGACACAAACGAGGCAGAATGAAAGTTTTTACCACAAGAGACAAACTTAATTTTGCAGCCCCTTCTTTCGTCTCCATCCCTCCCTCCATAGGCGAATCTACGGGGAGGCTTTCGGGCTGAAGCCCCCCCTCCCCCAATAGTAAAATGTGGCCATGTTTTATGGTAAAAAATTATGTCTTAAAGTATTATTGCTTGTTTAATTACATTTAATAGGACTTCAAGTATCACTTAAACACCATTTCATATAGGTAGTTAGTATCTTTCTGTTTTCCGAATGTAATTATCGTTATATATATGAAAAAAAGCTTTCGGGCTGAAGCCCCCCATGAATCATTCCCGAGAGTAGGAAAATTCAAATACCTCTGCTCCAGAATATCCTCAATGAATAACCAACCTGAAATTGATAACTAATGCAAATAGAGCTTTCTTCTACCTCTCAAAGGTACTAAATTCCGAAAAATCTCAAGAAATCTCAAATTAAGAGTGTACAATGCTATGATAAAGCCAGTTCTAATATATGGCTGTGAGACCTGGACCCTAGAAAAAGTGTTGAAAGATTTGAGATGAAAATCCTCACGATAACCAGAACGATCTGGGCTCAGAGTATTAACACATGCAGAAGAAAGACCAATAAAGAACTGCTTACAGAAAGAAACTGGTCCATCAATATTCCATGACATGAAGGCACGGAGGTGGGACATGTAGCTCGTAGCACACCATCTGGAAGCCTCTATGTAAGAATGAATGACTCAATAGAAGGGAAAAGACCACGTGGAAGGCCAAATAGCAGATGGATACTCGTAGATAGAATCAACAAAGATGCAATAGTGCTGCGTGGAAAGAAATATCCCAAGACAGGCAGAGAAGGAGCAGGCTTGTTAAGGCGGCAAAAGATCTACATGGTCTGTAATGAAAAAAAAAAAAAAAAAAAAAAAATGTCGCATGATTTGGTGTACAGGTGATCTTTTAAAATTATATAAGAATATGGCCTGATTCTCAATTGTGATTGCCTGATTCTCAAATATATTTCAAGTTTTTTGCTATTTACGTTTTTTCTACTACGTTTTTATAAGGTTGCTAACACCTTTTATCTTCAAACGGGTTCATTGATAAAGAATTTTTCATTATCTAAAGTATTCATAAACAATAAAAATTATCATTCAATTTTTTTGTTCTGTGGACTATTTCGATCGTTCGATAAAATTGATAGGCATTTAAGAAATTTTTAACCCCTGAGTCAGTGAAACGTAAAAATACAATATCATTTGTTTTTTAGAATATATTTATTTACATTTTATTTCGAGTATACGAGTCACGGATTCTCAGATTTCTTAAGTGTTATGTTACTAAACGTAGTTCTGCTTGATGTTTGAACAATTATTTGATTTAATAATTTTTTGTATAAAATAATTTGATGCAAGATTTCTATGTAGTTAATCCATTTTTTCTTTCTGCGTGTTCATTTGTAATCTATTTCCTACCATGAATTTTAGAATGATGATACACAAATATTGATCAACCGAAGAGCTAATTTTTAATATATACAAAATATTGTTGGTATACTTTGCACAGTGTAAAAAAGACTTAAAGAGAACTTCCTCCTAAACCGCACTGAAATTATTTATGTAAGTTTGGTAAAGTTACTTTACAAATCAAGAAGCGACTTTATGGTAAAAGAACCAATAGCTCACATTGTACCAATACCTGGCATTTTCCTCGAAAAATGGGAATAATAAAATTTTAGGACCTCTTAGATCTCTATTTCATACATTTTTGTTTCTATATGTACTCCTTGTATTTTTGCTTGTTTTGCTTTGCCGAAAATCGCAACCAAAATAATGAGTGGCAAATTAAGAAGGTCCCTTACTGTCCCAGAACTATCTGTCTGTAAGATCGCATACCTTAGGTTTGACTTTTTCTATTGAACTGCTCAGATTTATCCCATAATTTTTGTTTGATTGTTTTTTTGGAGTGTTTTTAAATTATAAGTTATCTGTTTTTAACTTATGTTGATGAAGGAATTGGATATCATTATTATTAGTTATTGAAGTAATGCTAAATTTTAAAACATTCATCGTACTAGAACACATAAATAATCACACAAAAAACACGTACGTACATAAATATAAATTAAATTTAGGGTAGGAAAAAAGGGTTGTTAATTAATGTCAGATTTAAAAAAAACATTCTTTCAAATATTTATTTAATTATAAAACGTGATCATAAAGTAATTTAGTAACCATATCCTCCCGCCATTGCACCACTGGAAGCTGCAGCTCCACCATATCCACCATATCCACCATAACCACCTCGATATCCGCCATATCCAGCGTTGGCGTTGGAAGAAGCAGCAGCTAATCCACCACTTCCATAACCTCCGTAACCTCCATAACCTCCAGCCACGGCTCCAGACTGAGAAGATGCTCTTCCTCCGTAAAATCGGGATTTGGCTGTTTTGGCTGAGGCTTCAGCTTTGGCGGCCGCACTACTTTCGTCTCCTTTGACTCCTACCTCACTCTTGGCTCCTGTTGATCCAACTGAACCTTCGACTCCTGAAGACGCTGCTGCATCGGATTGAGCTGCAGCCTTGCCATTAGCATCATCTGACTCTAATTCTGCTGCTGCCTTTGCCTGAGCTTCAGCAGGTGATGCACTAGCGAAGTCAGAACCTAGAATAGTATTATTAAGAATTAATAATATTATCATTATTTTGTGTTATTATATACAAATTAATATTAATTAGCATGAAAAAGAAGTACTATATTGGATTTTCGAATTACAACAATGATATTTAAGAGACAGAATTAATATTATATATACGAATATTCTAATTTCGAAATATTGTACCGCTAGAGCTGTGTTGGATACTACTGTTTTGATTATCTCATGCTGCTGGAGTGCCCAGAAGGATTTTCTTGGCGCAACTTGCGCAATTAAAATTTCAGAGCGGTGTATATTCTTACGGAAATTTAAATTATTGAGGAGGGAACATTTCGAGGGAGTTATGAATTTTCGGAATAAAAATTATCAAACTGAGGAGAAGGGGAAAAATGGAACAGACCGCAGTAATTGTAATTTTATATGATAACGATATTTCTAATTCTTTCACTGAATTTAAGAAGAGGAGAGGAATAAAATATTTTGGAAGAGTTCTGCGCCCATCGATATCAACAGGACACTCCTGATGTGCTAACTCTACTTGTACTAGGGATTGCTGCTCAGGAGCAACGATTGTTTTACTACAGCTAAATTAACACAGGGAAGTTATTTACAGCCGTGGTCATAGAAATAGCATCGCCTATTTCTTTTGATTCTTTTTTCTGTCTTCATACTTCTATACACACCTGTCATAGTATTGACAATAAGCAGATGTGATCTTATTGTATAGAAAATTGGCGTATAAGGCATGAGGACCCAGCAGTAAGTCTTCCTGATCTTGGCCTACTTCATAATTCAGGAAAGGAGATCTCTCATCCAGCTCCTCTTGAGTCGTCTCCTGATGGGCATGTCAGCTCCTGTGAAATCGGGAGTAGAGAGTACGTTTGTGTTGGTCGATAGTTGGTTGTTCTAGGTAAGTATGTAATGTTTTATTGTTTACTTACCAAGGAGCTGCTGTTATTAGTCTTAAAATTTTGGATTGAAATAGTTTTTTTTAAGTAGAAAGAAGTAGTTTTTGTAAGTGCGTCTTTTTTTGCAGAACCGTAAATTTGTGCGGCGTATGTCCTTATGGGTTTGAGTAGGTAAGTGTACTATTTATTTTTTATCTGATTTTCAATTTTGATTTGGAAAAAAGGGAGTATATTATTTTCAGTCGCTTGTTCAAAGTCTTTCGTTCCATTTTAACATATGGGTCCCGGGTCATCGTTCTGTCGAATAATAGTCCGAGATAACGTGTAGTCTGAGGAATTTGGTTGTCGCCGATATAAACTGGTGGCAATGTGTTTCGGCAAAGTGTAAATGTTATATGTTGTGATTTTTCATGATTATGCTAATTTTTCAAAGTGAATACCAATTTTGTAAATTTAGTAAGTGATTTTGTAAATTCAGTGAGACTAGTCTGGGGTTATGGTGTTTTGTTAAAATTGTTGTATCGTCAGCGTAAGTAGCAGTCAATGTTTCGTAGGTAGTAGGCATGTCATGCGTATAAATAATGTAAAGTAAAGGAGCCAATATTGATCCTTGAGGTACCCCTGCTGACACTGGTCGAATTGAGCAAATTTCTAAACCCTGTCGGACAGAGAAAAATCTGTCGAAAAGGAAAGACTGAATAATCAGATAGTATGTATGAGGTAATACGGCTTTGAGTTTAAAGAGAAGTCCCTGGTGCCAGACTTTATCAAATGCCTGGGCAACATCCAGAAATATATCGGTTGCATATTGTTTTTGCTCTTTATATTAATTATATTTGTATTTAATTACTTTATATTATATATTATTATTACCTAGAGAGGCCAGTAGGAAGGAAGCTGCTGCTAAGATTACTAGACACTTCATTTTGATGAACTGTCGACTACAACCATTGCTCCTCCTATATACCAAACCGTCGGGTATCGTTTAGTAATGCACGATCACGTCCAGACGGTAGCGAATTATGCTCCCGGATCGTGCGAACTTAATGCAAACAATATCTCATTCAAATCATCTTATCTTTATGCCAAATGAATGAGAATAAATAGATGAATTCCAGAGAACTGAATAAGGAATTTTAAAAAATGGTTATTTCGGAAGCTTAAAGCGGACCCTACACGGTAATTCATGAATGAACGTCACAAGAAGTTCCAAGATTGCCCGCTATCGCTTTGATCATGAAGACCCTTACACGTTCAATCATTACTGATCATTACTTATGTGAAGTTTCCACTTTTTTTTCTCTCCAATTTATTGTCTACTTGACTTTTTAAAGAAAAAATAGTTGAAAATGGTTAATAATAACATAGACTTATAGTTAATAATAACAACTATTTACTTTTATGAAGTTATTTACTTAATAACGAGACTTAGGTAAACTAACCTATCTAGTAGTAAGGTTAGTCTCATAGAAAACCTAACCTAACCTATCACTTCTCGTGAATGAACCTTTGATTTCCGGATGTTCTGAAATCCGCAGCGCACCACCATCAGTACTTCATTCACTACCTTACACGACAATTCGGAACGTCATTAGTGCATTTCCGATTGACCGTGTAGGGTCCCCTTAAGAATAAAAATACATTATATAATTTTAATCTACTGATTTTTTTTAAGTGAAAAATTCTGTAAGCCCGTTTTGCACTTTTTTAGTGGAGAATGAATTAGATTAATCCGTCAGATCTCTGATCTGTAACGCTCGGGTAAAGTCGGCTGGAACGACTAATTGGAGTGTTTTTTGGATATGGATTAAAATATCTAAAAATTAAAAATCTAACCTGCATATTCTTAGAGAGGTAAATATTCATCATTTAGTCCCCTTTTCATGAGCTTTTATTCAAAATTGTATCTTCACGGAACACCGTGTTAGAGAGGCGAAAAGGGAATAAATCGTGTTTAAAACCAAATGATAACGAGTCTAATTGAAGATATGGATTAAAATATCTTAGATACTAAAAATTTTACAGGCATACTGTAAGCAAGGGAGAAGTTGAGCATTTCATCCTCGTTATTCTGAGCTACAATGTATAATTTATATTTCATATGATTAATTTCGCCTTGTTGATGTTTTAACTTCTACCATGTGCTCTATAGCACACACCTTAGTTTTTTTTTTTAATGTAATGAAATTTACAATAGTATTAAAATGTAAATAAATACAACCCTCTCTCATTCCACTGTGATCATATGTATATAACACATGTATCATGTACCTCATTCTAAATTTTACAAATTTCATTCCTCAAATTAATAATAAAAAAATGTTGAAATTGGAGTTAGTCATTCAGTCCACTGAGTTAGTTATAATGTAATATAATGTTTTCGATTATTACAAGTAAATAAAGATAAAACAAAACCTATGATAATAAGCCAAAAATCCCACCCCAATAATAAGAAATGTCTAGAAGGGAAATTGTTCACGCGAGTAGACAAATTCAAATACCTTGAGTCCACAATAATCACAATGAATCGGTCAAAAATAGATGAACGTTAACCACCACAAACTTTCTTCTGTCTTACAAAGGTATTGAAATTCCAAAAAAATCTCAAATTAAGCGAATATAATGTTATGATAAAGCCAGTCCTGTCATAGGACTGAGACCTGGACAGTGACCTGCACTCAGGAAAGAGGTATTGAAACATTTTAGAGAAAAATCCTACACACGATAACTAAAGTGATCTGTGGTCAGAATAATAACGCATGGAGGAGAAGGCCCAATAAGAACTGTTTACAGAGAGTGGTCAATCAATATCTCATGATATTAAGAGAGTTTTATCTGGTTTTATACATTCGTATATTAACTGGCATTCAATCAGGAGCCTAGGATGTTTTTTTTATATTTATATTTAAATTCGAAGAAAATTAAATAAATAAATAACAGTGCTTACTGGTTTGCATATCCCATATATACATTATAAATAAATTAAATAAACATATTGAAAACATATGACTAGGATTAATTCTACTGCAGTTGAAATAAAGAAGCGTGAATATTATTTATTTATCTCCAACAGCGCCTTTTAGGCAGGTTGTTTGCAGTATTTCGATGATAAAGTTCTGTCCTTCTACTTCCTGAAAAATTAAATTCTTAGGATATTATTGGATAATCCGGTTATCACCTTATCAAAATTATTTCTAAAATGAAAACCTGGGTGGCCTATGAAAATATCAATATTTTGTACTTCAACCCTTATTTTACTCTCTAAGACATATAAAACATTCTTCAATTCTGTAATGAGAATTTGAAATGATAAAAAGTTAGAATGTTTTAATAGTAATTTGCTACCTGAATTAACAGAATCCGTGATGACGAAGGGGGTAACGTGAGTATGCATTACTAAATGCAACCCGACGATTAGGTATATAAGAGGAACAAAGGTTGTAGTTGACAGTTCATCAAAATGAAGTGTCTAGTAATCTTAGCCGTAGGTTCTTTCCTTGTGGCCTCTCTAGGTAATTATTTCACTAAATAGTTAATAATATTCCATGATTACAAAATTCTAGAAAATATTTATTAAATTTCTTTTTTCATCATTAGTAATTTGCTAAAGAAAATAGCATCACTTCAGTAACACATTAAAAAATCAAATGATATAATCTTATCAGTAGAACATATAAAAAACATCTAGAGACCATATCTTTGTTCCTAATTGGCCGACTTTTTGTTTTGTTTTGTTTTTTTTTAGGAAATTTCGTAATTGTATACTTAAAAATTGTTTACTTTTTGAGTTATTCGGAATCTAATTTTACCATGCCTCGTAACTT